GTACAATAAGACAATTACGGATGGAAATTGGCAAGATTTTGAATGAAAAATGCTGTTATTTGCGTTGGGGAAAATACTTATTCTGATGAAAACAAACGGTTTGGTTGACGTTTCTTCTCGAACTCGCGTGGCGCACTCTACGTTGGTGGTGCATTAAAAAGGCGTATTGACAATTCGCCTCTTCGGTCACTCTGTAACTCTTCACGCCTATCGTAAAATACCATAAGCTGTGCGTGAAACTTTGTGAACAGATAAGACAAAGTCCGCTAGATTTCATGCATAGATTGTAAGATGCTTATGGGATTTTACCAGGAGTAAAGAGTTGCAGAGTCACCGTCAACGTCAATTTTCGAAAGGGCCAATGCTGCAAACGGAAACAATTACTTTTTGCGTGAATTTCACGAAAATGAAAACTCACTCAAGAAAACCAACACCATATGATTGTGTAGAGAAAGAGTCCTCCTATCCGATAAAAATTAGTGGCTTACTTGGGTTGACTTTGACGTACGAAACATTTACGAAAGAAGCCATTATTTATGTTTTCGACATTGGTTCTTATGAATGCTCAGTGTCGATATCACGAAAATTTTATTTTGACAGATCTGTTCAGGAAGTCAAGATATTTTCGTTAATGGACATTAGTTCCGAATTTTCTCACCACGTGGCGCAAGTATACATATGAGTCATTCCAGCACCTGTGGTCGATATCACCGATTTGAAGCAAACTTTGCCAAAACGCTAATTTTGGTTTGCTCTGAAGATCCGTCTCGGCTACAACCCTGCATTATCGAGATTTGTAAAAATTATCTTTACTTTACAACCAAACAAGCTATTTTTGATTTTGGCACGTCATTTTGAAGGTATTTTAATGAAGATTTTTATAGGTGTACTGATATTTTATTTTTGTTACAGTAACTAGAGTAAACAGACTGCCCTTCCCATGGCTAGTTTTGGCACCTTGACTTTGGGTTTATGGTCGGCATCTGCCGTCATGGGCGGGAGTTGTGGATTATTGTTTATTGAAAAATTCAACTGACAAATACTGTCTAAATTTTTTTTTTTTTTAATTCTTTATTTAAGAGATTTTTAGCCTTAGGCTAGTTCATCTCTAATACTGTCTAAATGAATAAAACTTAAACTAAATAGTTACGGTCAACGGTACGGAAAAGGCCATGACGAAACACGTCAGCTGATACATTGAAGTCGAACATATAAAAAAAGTCGTTGAATTGCCGGCTGATTGCTCGAATTGGCTCGTGTTGTGTATAATTCCGGCTCCGTGGTTCCAAAAACAGAAAGTCGCGTTGACGAAGAGACCTCTCAGGGGCATACATATTTAGCTGTGACAGCAGTGTTGGGCAGTCAATGTCACCTGTAAGCAGCTTTCCAGCGAACATAGCTTGAGCGACCGTCCGTCTCACCTCTAATGGCTCGATTCCCAGGAGACGGCAACGCTCCTCGTACGGTGGCAAGTTCGTTGGGTCACGCCAGTTGAGGAAACGAAGAGCATATCTCACAAACTTGCGTTGAACGGATTCAATTCTAGTGATCCAGCTAGCATGGAAAGGGCACCAAACAACTGAACTTGACTCCAATAAGGATCGCACAAGCGAGCAGTAAAGTGACCTGAGACATAGCGGGTCACGAAACTCGTCGGCAATTTTGAAAATAAAGCCCAATTGTCGATTAGCTCTGGAGATGATGTCAGTGTAGTGGATTCTGAAAGTGAGTCTGCAGTCCAAGGTAACGCCGAGATCCTTTATGTGCTCTACACAAGCAAGACAGCGTCCGTAGAGAACATAGTCAAACATGATTGGTTCAATTTTTCGGTGATATGAAATAATGTTACATTTTTCTATGCTTAGACTCATCAAATTTCTTGAGCACCAGTCAGCAAAAATACCTAACATATTCTGGAGATCCCAGCAGTCCGAGAGGCTTTTAATAATTTTGTAGATTTTCGTATCGTCTGCATAGAAAACGCGGCATCCTAATGGTATCAGCAAGGCGACATCGTTTAAAAAGATCGAAAATAGTAGCGGTCCTAGGTTACTGCCTTGCGGGACTCCCGAGTTGTTTGAGAAAACATCCGATTCCGACGCGCCAATCTTGACATGTACATAGCGATTCACCAAGTAAGATCTGAACCAATCCACAGCAGTTGAGATGCCAAGTATCTCCAGCTTGGCCAGCAAGATATTATGGTCCACCGTGTCAAATGCAGCTTTTAGATCCATATACGCCGTATCGACTTGCCATCCTGAATCCATGCATCACAGACAGTTAGAAGTGAACTGCACCAGGTTCGTGGACACGGAGCGCTTCGGGTAGAAACCGTGTTGTTCTGTATCGATATAATTTTTGCAGCGTGCGAACAGAGCACCATTTATGATAATCTCGAACAGTTTTGAGCAGGCACACAGGGAGGTGATTTTACGATAATTTATGACATTCCGTTTATCTCCTTTTTTGTGCACTGGGAACAGATAAGAAAGTTTCCAGCGGCAGGGGAACTCACATTGCTGTGCCGAGAGATTGAATAGCCTCGCAAGTGGAAGGCAGATATTGGTTACACAACGTTTTAGAACTGATGACGGAATGCCGTCAGGTCCGGAGGCGAACGAGAGCTTCAGTTTGCGTGTTGCGGCTATCACCATGTCTTCTGAAATGCGCGGAATAACGAAACTAAACACATCACGTGGCATCCCAACAGCAGCATCCAGCACTTGTGTTGGCGAAGCGGAGAAATCGTTGAACACTTGCTTGAAATGACGAGCAAACAAGTCGCATTTTTCTCTTTCACTATTAGCCGAGTCATTCCCGAGAAACATGGAACAAGGCAATCCGGATTCCTTCCGTTTTGAGTTGACAAACGACCAAAAACTTTTCGGATTCGTGCGAAGGTTCGCTTCCGTGCGTCTCACGTGTCGATTATAGAGAAAACGATTGTAATTTCAATAACTACGACTCGCAAAATTGAACAGTCGTTTGTAGTACGGCGAGCGAGAGTTACAATACTTTCGGAGGGCGGCAGAGCGTTGACGTTTTAGCACGCGTAGGCGTGGGTTAGATCATGCAGGCTTTAGCGGAGGTCGTCGAGCTGGGACAATGCGGAAGTGAGCCTTCCGTCTCTTAAGAACCAAAGTCCTTGCCGCTAGTAACAGTATCACACCTGTATATATTTTATTCGATAGTCATGTCGCACCACGTTTATATAAAGGCACTAACTTTGGGTTTGTGTGTGGTACTAGCGGGATAGGCAACAAGTAACTCTTATTTAATTTTGACACACGTTCATCTAGATAAAATTGATAAATAGCAGATTTTTAGCGATGGGCCCAATCTTAGATCTTAGATTCATTTAGGGAGCAAACTGTTTTTTCTGCTGTCTCGTGCGGCGTTCGGAAATCACCCGGTTTTCAGAACTCACTTAGTTTAGATATTTTATACTTAAACAACTGATTCAATCGAAGCAGGGTTGCTTCCACTCACATGCTATAAAAAAAATGATTTTCTGAATTTTGAAATCATCAGACGTTATAATGAATCAGCGATTTTATGATTCGTGAGCGTTCACTCAGAGTGAGCGCTCGCGAGTCGTAAAATCGCTGATTGTGACTATCTCAAAGCGAATTTGACAGGTTTTATGTGTCAAACACTTGCCTTTCAACTTTTTCTTTAACGGCGCCGGTGGTGTAGTGGTAAGCGTGATTACCTCTCACCCCAACAGGCCTGGGTTCAATCCCAGTCGGCGCCGCCGGGATGTTCTGAGGCATAACATCTCTGATCACGCCTTCCTTCGGATGGGAAGTAAAGCCGTTGGTCCCCGGTTTATGAGATGATGGGTCGATAGGTAGGGTCCAGGTGTGGAAGCTGCCTTCCTGGCACGTCGGTAGCATTGGTGCTCAGCACGGAAAACAAGATCGACGGAAAAAAAAAACTTTTTCTTGTATCTAACAAGTACAAAATATCATAATAACAACTAATGAATTCAAAATTCAGAAAATCACTTTTTATAGCAAGTGAGTGGAAGCAAGCCTGAATCGAAGCAGTACTACGCGGACGTATCCTTTGGCTCGTTAATACGTTTATTCTATTTTATCCAAGTGCGAATTTAACGTGGGCCTGTTCATAAACTACGTAGACAGTTTTTTGGGATACTTGACCCCCCCCCTCCCCCTGCGTAGACAATTGTCCATACAAAATTTTTAAAATTTGTATGGGCCGTAGATAGTTCTCAACCCCCCCCCCCCCCCCTAAACTGTCTACGTAGTTTATGGACAGCCCCCGTGGTCTACGGAGCTTACGGGATTCATAATTCAATATTGATTTAATCGGTTTACTAAGCGGATGTATCTTTTGTCTCGTTCATAAGCACTCACGTCACAGCATTTTTTCCAAACCTATCTTGAAACAATACACTTCATGGGTCAAGTTTTGAAAACAAATTATGTAATCACAGTACGAGCTGAAAAGCTACAGTGACCTAGTGAGCACCATAGCTCGAATCGTCTGTCAGTGTTGTGTAGTTATGGAGAGCCCAACCGAGAGCCCAAACTCTTGAAAAAAAAAACAACTTGAAAACGGTTTATTTGATCAACCTGACATCTGAGAAAAAGTTTTAACGGGTGTTCAATAAAAAATGAGAATGATTCCAATACCGTCCAGCGCTCTTGTGAGAGCATCGCGACTAAGTTGCGTCGTACGGCTGACCAGGGCCCCTTCTCCAATATTCATTGACGTTTTTTTTTTGAAGAATAAACATTATGTTTTTAATAAAAAATACTGAATTCGTTGAAAAAAAAAATAATTTTTTATTAACTATATGACTGAAAAAAAATCTCATTTTTTATTGAACACCCGTTAGGTAATAAAATGATCTTTGAGAAAAAATAAATAAACATTATTACCTCTAGACACCAGCAGTTCCACCCTTATGTCAGCCTGCCTTTTTAACCTCAATTGACTAACCCCAATTTCCGTTTACATTTATTGCACAGGACGAAAAACGCCGCCAGCGGGAAGAGGAACAGCAAGAAGAAGCCACCGAGGCGAATGAATCCACGGAACAGCAGAAGAAGAAGAAAAAGAAGAAGAAGAAGCCAGTCAACTATCTGCTCGAGGAGCTAGGCGAAACGAAAGAAGAACAGGTGGCCAAAGCCCTGCAGCGCAAGATGGCTATCCTGGAGGCTAAGCGAGAGCGCAAAAAGGCCAAAAAAGTGGCCAAACTGCACCAGCAGCTGAACAAGGAGAATCAACAGGAAGAGGGGGAAAAGAATGAAGGAATCGGTGCGAAGTTCGAAAAGAAGACCAAGAAGGATAAGAAAGCGAAGAAAATGCAAAAGGCAGCCGTCGAGGAAGAGCCGAAACCGGTGGTAAAGCGAGACATTTCCGCATTTGCAATGTACAGTGCCCAGATCGAGGAACTGAAGAAAGAACAAGCGGACAAGAGGAAGCCGAAAAGTAAGCAGCTGAAGGAGAAAAATCAGCAACCATCCGCCGCGCAGGAGGTGCAGGTAGCGCTAAAGACCAAAGTGGATACCAAATCGAAGAAGGACAAACAAGCCCAAACTCCTTCCGAATCAGCGCCAGCATCAGATGAAAACCATAAGGAAGATAAGAAAAAACGTGCTGCTGATAAAGAGGTTTCTCCTGATAAACCTACCAAGCATGGCAAAACTTCTTCGAACGAGCCGGAGTCTACGAGTGCTTCTGCTTCCAAACCAGCACCAAGTGAAAAGTTTAACGAAGATAAGAGCAAAGAAGTTGTGTCTGAGAAACCTACCAAGCTAGTGAAAAAGAAGGACAAATCATCAGCGAATGAGTTAAGCGAATCCTTAGAAAAGAAGAAAAAGCTGGACTTACTCTTTGCTCCTCTCAAATCCGTCGTTTCGACCAACGACGACGAACTTGCCACACTGAAGAAGTCCCTCATGGAACCGGTGACCAAGGTGGTTAAAAAACAGAAACTCTCCCAAAATGATTCTAACCCCGTCACGGTAGCGGAGTCTACGCCCCCACGCAAGTTGAAAGCTCTCAGCCGATTGGAGCTAGGTTTCCACGAAGAACCGTTAACTCCAGATCACAAGCTGCTCAAACGCAACCATGGTTTCAAAGAGGAACCTGTCACTCCCAAGACGATCGGTTTCAAAGTGTCCAATGTACTGCCTGCTGGACAGGAAGCATTACAACAGCAAGCCGTCTTGGCTAAGAAAAATAAGACCTATTCGAATTCAAACCGCATTCGTCCGGAGGACGTGAAGGAACCGGCCAAGGGTCTGCCGCTTCCCATCTGGACTCGCTCGGGAACATTCGCAGTTGAGGAGCTATCCGAAGCAAAGTCGAAGAAATCCAAGGCAACGCGAAGCGTCGAAAGTGATTTCGTTCCGCTGAACGTCAACGGAGGTGGCCATTGTTCAACTGACTTCATGGTAAAGACTCTTGGAGGCAAGAAAAAGGAACATCAGGCTGGTGGTACGTCGAAAGCGCATCGGATCGATCTGGCCACGGTGGACGAGAGTGTGATCAATTTCAAGAAACAGGCCATCTTCGGGAAGAATGCCCATCTAAGGGAGAAAAAATCGAAGCACTGAGTTGCCAGCTTCTAAGGCTGCCTCAAACTATTGCTATAAACGTGTTTTGTTTAGTTTGTATCGTTTAACTTTTTGGAATAAAGCATTTTTTTTTTGTTCTTTTAATGGAAATACCTACAGATAATTATTGTTTACTTACGCGATGACACAGGTTTGACGGGTTATACTATCCGTTAAATCTACGCCAAACGAAGAATTCTATTCCACTTGATTCGCTAAAGGATCGACCTCATCAACTTCAAAAAGTGTGCCAGGTCTGCCCCGATTTCAATGAACTCATCCGGGCTCTGTACTGATTATGGCGTTTATCGGTTTTCCAGCATCCGTGTTACCTGCCCAGCTCACTGTATCCTGCCGTCGTTTATATTAGAGTAAAGTGGGGAGTACGCAGTGGTTCGAAAGGCAGATAAACCAAATGATGTAATAATTACTAATGATTATGAGTGGGATTGAAACCTACCTAATACAAGCTTACTACTAGAAAAATATTATGTAGGCGAAATGGCTCTAATGTTGGCATATGGATCTAAGATTGGGCCCATCGCTAAAAATTTGCTATTTATCAATTTTATCTAGATGAACGCGTCATTGGGACGGTACTAATTACTATTTTTGGCCGCTATTAAAAATTTAGTCGATTGCTAATTTATGTATGGGCCCAAATTAGGGGCATTTAGGCCGAAATGACATCGATTTCCCCTGTTTTGAATAATGCACCTAAAAGTTATCACTAGAAGTATGAAATTTTCGATTTTTGCATTTGGTTATCAAATTAAAACATGTTTGAAGTGGTAGCCGTACCATTCTTAAGCTCGGTGAAGTCATTCTTGTAACTAACTTTGGAAGTGACCGATACCAACAGCAGCAGCAATAAAACAGCAGTATTGGAAGCAGATCAGCCGAGATTCGTGTAGCCGTGACCGAGGCTGGAAATCTCGGTCCGGTCACGACAACCACCAGACGGAAATCGTAATGTTTACTGCATTCTATGTATGCCCTGTAGTAAGAGCGTTCCGTTGGAAGGAGATTCTCTATCCATACAGTGGATATCGTGTAAGTGCAGGTCCACACCTATTAGTTTACAGGTCCACACCTCCGTTTTTGGCCCTTCACACAACGGAACAGTAAAGATTGCAAGGTTGCATAGTTTGCTCTATAGATACTATAGATTCCATAGATAAGCGGAGGCACAACACGTTTTTTTGGCAATCATGAAAAATAAACAATCCTACTGGCATCCGTGAAAAATGTTCATGCCATCATAGAGCTCTTCTATGTGCACTTTTGTTTTAATTTGTTTTCTTTCGTGCGCAAAAGTTCAAAATGAAGTGCGAAGCAAATCTTTGCAACAATGAATCGAAGAGCGGTTTCCTTCTTTCGTTTTCCGCGAAATAAATCGGAATGTAGAGTGTGGAAAGCGTTGTGTGCTCATAATATTACAATACTTCCCCGCAAAAAAACACCATGATGGCGTCATGCTCGTTTGGCTACACTAACTGACAGTTTGTTTGGCTACATTCTACTTTGTCTCCGCTTATCTATGGAATCTATAGTATCTATAGTTTGCTCTTGCCATTAAGAGGAACCGTACGTTATGGCAAGTCCTGCACTCGTGGTGGCTTCTAATCACACTAAAAAATGTTGTACCACGAAATAAAGGGGAGAGCCGCAGCTGTCTTATAAAAGAAACGTTTCAACGGTTCGTGGAATATTTAAAAAAAAACTACACTGCAAGAAAAGTGTCCGAAATTTAACGTGAGCCTACAAATTTTCAACCTTGTCCGATCTTATTCATCTTCGATCTGCTAAAAAGTCGACTTGGACTAAATTTTCTCTTCTTCTGCAATGGCGCCTAAACGCAAAAGAAAAGGGCAATCTCTTGATCCCCCTTCTGATCATCCGATGAGAATGGTCCATCATCCAGACAAAATTCCATTAATACCATGAAGGAAAATGTAACCTCTTCCATGCTCTTCACAAGGAACTTTTGAAAATAGTTAAATTCAAGTTTTCACTTCAAATTGGCCGTCGTAGTATATCAAACCTGATCAAAATTATTTGCACAGAGTAATTTACCCCATAGTGATACAGTGGTGACCCGATTTTGTCAGCCCCCGATTTTGTCTACCCCCGATTTTGTCAGCTTTTTGACCCGATTTTATCAGTCTATATGATTCAATTAGTTTTGGTTGAGGTGGACTGTTTTGTACAGTAGTATTCGTATTTTATTGATTGTCGAGCTCAATAATGACATTTTTCGAGAATTAATTGTGCAGTGGTGGCAAGATCAAAGCAGGGGGAGGGGGGTTGAGAGACTAGTTGAAAGTTATGTACGTTAAGTATGAGTTTTTTTTTTTTTTTTTGACAAGGAGGGAACCTTCAAAAAGGCCAACGTGCCTCCGCTTGACGACTGGGCGCACAGTCACGGTGACACGGTGTGTGGGATTCTTACCGCACTAAAACCTTCTTAGACGCCTTGCCCTTTTCCCTTGCAATACGCACCTCACTTTACCTCAGCTAATTGGCGCTTCCAGTTCGCTGATCGTCTCTCCAATTTGTGAGCCATTTAGCTCCCAGCGTCACGTTCTACTCGGTTATCCCCGGTGATGTATACAGCCTACTATGACGGAGAGTTCTTCCGGCTTCGGCTTTCAGTTCGCACTTGTGTGAGCACATTACTACTTTCTAGTTGGTCTTCTCGCCATTTTCGCTGACATGATCTGCGTTACTGCTCTGCTGACGGCGTTAAAGGTACCCTCGTTTCGACACATTTCTTAAACGACATTCTCCGTGCTAAGGGCGAGCATATCCTCTCGCACATCATCAAATCTAGGACATTCGAAGACCACGTGCTCTGGTGATTCTTCCACATTCCCACACTCCGGACAGAAGGGTGACGTTGTGTGTCCGAACCGATGCAGCTACTTCCTGAAGCAGCCATGACCAGACAGGAACTGCGTCAAGTGGAAGTTGACTTCTCCATGCTTCCTGTTCACCCAGGTCGAAAGAATCGGTATGAGCCTGTGTGTCCATCTACCGTTCTCTGCTGCATCCCACTCCTGCTACCACTTAGCCATCGACTCCGTTCTCACCATTTTTCGTACTCCTCTGGTTTCTCTCGTCATATAGCACTCGTAGTCCTCCACCAAGTGATGCCGATTGGGATCATACCGGCGATAACGCATACTGCCTCCATCGAAATGGTTCTGTACGCACTCACGACTCACATGGCCATGAGCCGGAACGTACTGCTCAATTTCCTTTGGTTCTGCTTCGTTTTCAGCGCTTCAATCCAGGCTGGACCTCCGTACCTTAGTATCGATGAGGACACACTAGCCAGAAGACGCCTCTTGCTGCTGCTTGGACCAGAATTGTTCGGCATAATTCTGGCTATTGCGTTGATGACCTTCGCCGCCTTCTCGCAAGCATATTCGATGTGGCTATTAAAGCTTAGCCGGTCGTCGATCATCACTCCCAGATACTTTAGCATGCGCTTCGAAACAATGGTGTGCTCTCCAACGGTGATTTCTGCCCGCTGCACTGCTTTGCAGTTACTGACCAACAACACTTCTGTTTTGTGGTGGGCTATCTGCAGCTTCGCTCCTTGCATCCAGTTACCAATCGTATCTATCGCCTCGGCCGCCAACATTTCCACTTCTTCCAGCGTCTCACCGGTTACCGTCAAGACGACATCGTCCGCAAAGCCAACGATCTCAACTCCTTTCGGCAGCTTGAGCGTCAGCACGGTATTGTACATTCCGTTCCACAGCGTGGGACCTAGAATGGAGCCTTGGGGAACTCCCGCCGTGATTCTAAGCGATTTCTGCCCCGTGTCTGTCACGTAGACCAGGACCCGGTTCTGGAAGTAACTACTTAGAATCCTGCAGAGGTAGTCTGGAACCCTCATTCTATGGAGCGCTTTGGCGATGGCCTCCCAGCTGGCGCTATTGAATGCATTCTTCACATCAATTGTAATCACGGCGCAGTATCGATTTCCTCTCCGCTTCTGTTTGGAAGCTTTCTAGGCTCTGACAATCACTGTCCGAATTGCATTCACCGTCGATCTCCCTTTTCGGAATCCAAACTGTCTCTCCGACAATCCGTGTTCACTCTCCGTGCATTTCGTCAGCCTGTTGAGGATGATCCTCTCCAAGAGCTTTCCTACAGTATCCAGCAAGCATATTGGCCTATACGATGCAGGATCCCCCCGGCGGTTTTCCGGGCTTCGGTAACAGCACAAGCTTTTGTACCTTTCACCTATCAGGGAACTGACCCTCGTCCAGACATTTCTGCAGCACCATCCTGAACATGTCCGGGAACATCTGGATCGCCGCCTTCAACGCCACGTTGGGAATTCCATCTGGGCCGGGAGCTTCATTCGCTCTCGCTGCTGCTATGAGTTCCTCGTTGGAGACTTGTTCAACGTAGTCTTCATCTACCTCGCCATATGGTGTAGGTGACCAGTTCGTTGAGTCATGCTGTGGGAAAAGTCCCTCCACGATGACTTTCAGCTTGTTGGGACACATTTCAACAGGCATCCTGTTGGACCTCTGATCTTCGCCATCGCGACTCGGTAAGCGTTGCCCCAGGTGTTGGCATCGGCGTCGCGGCACAGCTCCTTGAAACTATTTGACTTGCTCAGATTTATCTTTCGTTTCAGTGCAGCCCTGGCCTCTCTGAACACCACCCTGCGCTCCTCTCTGTCTGCTTCTGTTCTTGCTCTCTGAGTAGCACGGAGGGTGCTAATTTCCTCGTTCCACCAGTAAGCTGGACGCCGCCTGTTCGTTGGCTCCAGTTTTCTCGGCATAGTTGTGTCACATGCGCTTGATTCGGTCAGCTCGTTCGTGCTTAGGCCCGGGACGCTGCTGTCTACCCTTAGAGCTTCGTAGAAGAGATCCTTATTGAATGCCTTCGTCTTCCACTTCCACTCGCTTCCCTAATAAAAATTGTATGGTTAATTTGCTTAACGACGTGTTCTGGGTATCGTCCAAACCATTTGTGGAATGGTTCGATGGTTTGGGTTATCGTTCGTTTATGGTTATTTTTTATCAGGGTTACTTTTGTCCTCCGCATTTCCACCGGTGTCCGTTCGCCGATACTGTACCA